TCCAGGAGCCCATTGGGCCGACTTTTCGCGCCTCCTGAGGCCCTCCTGGGCTCATTTTCACCCTCCTTCAGGCCACTTGGAGCCGTTTCAAATGACTTTCCACCTCTTTTCGAGCCACGTACACCAGAACACCCAACAAGCAAACAACATCGTAAAACAGATGTTGATGATTTGGGCCGTCTCGCACTTCTCCTTGCGCCTCTCTCGGAGCTCCCGAGCATCTTCGCTGGCTCTTGCGGCCATCTTAGAACCCGGGCATGCTCTCTATGACCGTCCTGACAGCCTCTCGGACCCATCTTGGGCCGTCTGGCCGCCTTTTTGGCGACTTCTTGGTCCGTCTTGGGCGCGCCCAGGGGGGTCCCCAGAGGCGCTTCTGAGGCCCCGAAACTACGTGGGACTGCTCCTTTCTGCCCCTCCGTATCCATCTTCGGTTTCGTCTGCTGTTTTCGACACCTTCGGGTGCCCTGTTGGGCCGTTTTCGGAGCCTCTTGGGCCCTTCTGGGGGACCTTTCTTGGGACCTTTTACCAAATCTTTTTGGACCCTCTCTGGCCATCTTGGAACCCTCCCACAAACTCCGCGTTCCAAAAATGGTGGGGCGTCGGTTTCTGCCCACTCAGGGGCATTCAAGTGAATAACCACACTAAACTTATATTCGCCCAATGTAAGCATCTGAGCGGACATTTTCCCTTATAAAGACTGGACAATCGTGAAATACAGACCGCTGCATCCGCGGCACCAACAAGCTCGAAAGGAGCAAACGCAAACCGATCACCACTTCCATCACATAGTACCACCAGAAGATCAGTTCTGGGGCGAAGCGAGGAGGACCTCACATAGCGTATTCGGTGGAGGCAACGTGCTACTCTCCACTTCCAGTGTGCGCCTATGGGAGTTGAATCGGGCTATCAACTTACACTGGCCCACACGGATTAGCTCAACCGAACACGCTGTGATATGATAGATGCTTGCGCAGGCCACAAGAATGGCTGGTCCGTGGTGCGGCGTTGCTACAAGAGTGTGCCGACCTCGCCACCATCCACATGCTGTAATCGAGCGCGCGCTTCCTGTCTCAATACTGTTGGGTATCGGAAGCGGTGTGTGGGCCTGTCTCATGGTTGCCGAACGTGGAAGCTCGCGGTACAGATAAGACAGGGAAGAGTGGGCAGAGGAGGGCGGAAAGAGCGGCAACATAATAGACGCGCGTGTTCTGGGCACGGCGCAGCGGAGCTCCTGGAACCGTTTGCACGTCGCCATCAGGAGGCGCGAGCCGCCGTAATATCCCTCGCGCTTGCCTCACGCCCCTCCGTTTCTCTTCCTCGTACAGCCGGGGCCAGTCATAAGGACGCAAGCGCAATCCAGCTGCAATCATAAGGAACGCTGTAGAATGAATCAAGCCTCTGCCTGATGCCAAAAGCGCCTGCGTACACGAGGAGCGCTAGAGGAGCAACCGTGAAAATACCCAAAAATCAACGAACTCCCTATGACCTCGAACCGTTCCTGATCTAAGTGCCTTGACTGGAAAGGATGCAAGGCCCGTGGGTGGGAAGCCAAATTGCAACACTTGGACAGCAGCATGGTTTGGGTAATGCCGGTGATGGTAGGGATGCAATGCATCTTTTGCTAACCACTTCATCTTTACTGGGGGGCAGCAACACTTATGTGTCATCGCACCAGCAGGCCCGCAAATATGTCCGTCACCGTGCCGTTGGGGGCGCGATATAATGCTAACATGTTGCCCGAAAAGGGGAATGCGACTCCCCTATCGACGCCGACCATCGCCCCCTCCGAATTTGCTTTCCGGCACCCTGTTCGGCTTCAAAGTGGCTGCAAGACTTTCAAGCAGTGCCAGAACGGCTAAGCCCCAGGGCCATCCAAAGACTCCCCAACGAGCCTCCAAAGGCACCAAGACTCCAAAAAGTCTCCAAGCTGCCTCAGGAAGGAAACACCCCCACGTGATTTTGCTACAGAGCCTTTTGTCTTCAGATCGCTTCGGAACAGCTTCAGAGGGCCCAATTGCACCCACAAAGGCCCAACACTGCCCCAAGCCAGCCCCCAGGTGGCTCCAAGACTGCCAGAGAATCTTCCAAGAGGACCCAAGAGGGTTCTAAGACGGCTTCAATATCGAGGAAACGAGGCCGAGTTTAAGACCCACGCGAATTCAGACCACGCGCTGAACTGGCGTGGTTATTCAACTCAACCTCCTTCCAGCTGCCACGGAAAGAGGTCGGCTCCTTTTTTGAATGTGGCTCTCGCCGTAGACTTCGTCAGACTGTACGAACCTGAAGCTTGACAATTCCGACGATGCACGGATGCAGAGCGGCTTCTTTGCAAACACGTACCCTCGACTGGCACTTACGCTCACGCTTCATGATTTCAATGCTCAAGACTGCGAGGAGCTGCACGGATGGAGATAGGGGGCGGCCCCTTCTGCTGAGTCCCGCTCTCGCCTCATCGGCGCCCAGCGCACGCTTCTGGATCCTCCTGCAGTGCTACCTGAACGGATGCACAACGACTCCTTCGAACGCCGATTGTGATAGAACCTGAGTCTGTTGATTTGTACTCGCTTCGAGAGGCGCTCCTGGCCAACGGGGGGCCGTACCTTTCCGGCGGGTGCTCGCTGTAGTGGAAAGAAATATTTGTATGGACCCGCGGACGTTTTTCACGAGCGACGAGAAACTCAAGCACCGCCCCTGCCCTGGAGTCATGGGAAGGGGACTGGGGATGGGACGGCGCGCTGCAGCATCAGTGATAGGTGCTGGGCTCACTCTTGTCCACATCCTCTCTTAATTTACTTTCCATAACTCTGATTTGATCGTGACTGCATGCTTCTGTGCAAGATGAGGAGGAAATCAACATGTTTGTTTCCGAGGTGTTGCCCCCCGCCCGACCCCCCTGGACCGGATGTAAGCAAGAGGCTTCCGTCTAGTCGCCGCATCGCCTCTCCCTCCCTCGTCTTCCTCCTCCTGCTGCACCCACGCCACAAAGGAACCCCAAACGGGGACAGCATCGGAAAAGGGCAGGAGAACCCAGAAACACATCGACAAATCGGATCGGCGATCGGCGGAAATCGGCAGCCGAGTCGGGAAAAATCGAATCCGCGGAGATCAGCAGGCTAGTAGTCCTCCCATGAAGAATCGGCATCCGCACCACGAAGCCAAGACGGGGACAAAATCGGACAAGGGCGAATCGGTCCCTGAGACTCGGCGGCTCTGGAAACGGTATCGGGCGCCGCGGTCGTGCCACGGCGCTGCGAAGCGCTCTGAGCGTATCCTGGTCCTGGCCTCGCCCAACACCCCCATCCAGCAGAGCGAAAAGCAAGAGGTCCCCATCCGGCCGACACACCGCCTCCTTTTATCTCCTCCTCCTCGAGCTCGAGCTCCTCGTCTTCCCAGCATCAGGCCCTCCTTGTAATCATCAACTTTCATGTCTTCCCCCCCCACCTCCTCCCTCCCTTCTCCACGCAACTCAGCCTCCCCTCTTCCGCTTCCTTCTCCATTGAGTAATCATTTCGTGAGCGGCCGACGCTACGCCATCCATCACTGGGGCCCTTGATCAACGATTTCAACTCCAAACGAGAACACCAGACGAGCCCCCAAACGGCTGCAGGATGGCTCAAGACCGCCCGAAGATGACTCCAGGACCACCCGAGACGATCCCAATACAGTCGGGGCGTTGACCTAAGGAACCCTAAATCAGGAACGAGGCCCCTTTTTTCCATAAGTTAAACTTCGATTTCCGATCGAAAACATAAGCAAAACCTGAGGCAAGCTGTGAAACACTTAAGGAACGCGGAGCCCCTCCCCAACCAAAAGGGTTCCTTCTTCAGGGCCCCGACTGTACACTTCGAAACCGCCACCAGATCCCAGAAGGGCCTCTAGGCTGGCCCGCGCCGTACCGAGTGCATCCCGAGAGAGTCTAAGGCAAACCCGATGACGCCCAAACGACGCCCCGCAGAGGTCCGCCCGAGCATGAGCCCACGTTTTCGGCCTCGCGCACTCGCCATCGCTCGGACGTCCATTCCCTGTGTTTTTTTCGGTTTCGTGCGTGGCTTTTTCACCAGATGATCAAGGATGCTCCTCGATGGTCCTCGCCGAAGGAAAAAGGCACACGTCCGAGCGATGCCAAGTCCATGTCACACCCCCGAACACTTACTGATTAAACGATTTGCGCACTTGTGCCCCCCTGAGACCTCGCTTTCCCAGGCACGTGCGGCGACGCAAGCGGGCCTTGCTCTGCCCCCAGCGCTGCATGCCCTGACTGCCCTTTGTGGCCTAGATGAGCGGACAAACTGCGTAAACATACCCCTTCGGAGATCCGCACGGCGCTCAGAAAATCTATGGTTATGATGCTGCTTCTCCTTCGGCGACCTCCTCTCGCTGCCGCCTCCTCCTCCTCCTCCTCCTCCTCCTCATCCTCCTCATCCCCCTTCCCCTCCCCATCCCCCTCCTCCCCTCCCCCTCCTCCCCCTCTTTCTCCTCCCAGCTTGCACCGGAGCCTGTCTGGCGGAGCGCACGTCCACCGGGCGCGGCAAAAATCACACCCCCTCGCACCGAACTGCCCCACTTGCTCGTGCACGCGGCGCGACCGGATGCGCACGTTTGTCCTCGCGGGCCACGCACTTGCCAGCTACCCAAAGCCTAGCCGCAGTCGCGAGTCGGGCGCACGCTAACATGGATCGCGGAAGGGACCCCCCAAACATGAGGCCAGTGCCGCCTGGCTTGGCGACGGAGCGCACCGAGTCTGTGCATGTGGGACCGGGGCCCGTCGCCTAACCCGCGCGCCTTGCTCCATGCTTGCGCTTCCTCAGGCGAGCGCGCGCCCGGCCCCTCCGCAGCTTGGCAGTCCTCGCGCGTGCGCCATCCCTCCATGGCTCCTCGGTGGCCCCGTCGCTTCGGAGCATTTGCACCTCCCCCTCCTCTCGTCATCGCTCAGACGTCCATTCTGCATGTTTCGGCTTCGTGCGTGTACCATCCAATCGTCGTGCCTCCCTCACCTCCACCTCGACTTTCTCCCTCACAAGGCTCGCCGACGAAGTGCAAGTCGGCGAGGCAGCTGAAAGAACTCGGGTCGTAAAGCGGGTGCGGGATCAGGTTCAGCTGGTCGCTCTCCTCGTCTGAATGCCCTCCTCTCCGTCGGTTCTCCTGGTCCTCGCCCTTCCCCTCAACTGCCTCCTGCTACCCCTCCTCCTCGTCATCCTCCTCCTTCCCGCCAATCTTCCTCCTCATCTTCTTCCTCATCATCACGCTCCTCCCTCCTGCTTGCATATCCCTCCTCCTCCTATTCATTGCCCTGACTCTTCCCCCTCATTGTTCTCATCCATCCTTCATCCTCATTCTCCTCTGGAGTGGGCGGTTCTCGGTAGAACACACCGAAGTGACGAGCGAGCACTTGTCCACAACAAGAACACGATCAGCCGCATGATAGCCTACATCGTCCCTCTCCTCTCATGTTTCACGTCATCCTCCTACTTCTCCCCCTCATCCCCCATCCCAACCTCCTCTGCTACTCCTCCTCATCAATCCTCCTCCTCTTCCTCCTCCTCCTCCTCCTGCTGCTCCTTCTCTCCTGCTCCTGATCCTGCTCCTTCTCCCGCTCCTCCTCATCCAACTCCGCATCTTCCCCCCTTTGCCACCCCTCCCCCGTGGCCAGACGTCAGGCGGGTGCTTGTGCTGGTAAGTGGCAATAGCTCTATGCCCGTAGAGCGTGCCGTGGCGGTCATTTTCCCGAAAGCCTCCCGCTGGTCGCGCCGGCGGTGTCGGGGCTATGCCAGGCTTGACGACGGCCAGCCTTGGCAACAAAGCAGCTGCATAGCGCCTTGGCTGCGGCAGCAAGAAGAGCCGTACAAGGTGACGTTACCCGAGCTGTGCGAGATGCTGATGGAGCAGATCGCTGAGCATGGACTTATCTGGTCCCTTTGGTGCAGCTGGAGGCGCTACTGAAGGAGGTCCAGCTCTGCGCGGGCCTCGCCGCCAAGCCCAGCGTCACCCAGGCCAACGCCCTCCTGGGGGAAAGGAGCGCTGGCCTTGTGGCATCGAACCTCGGGAAACTCACCAATCCAAGGACCGCTGCTGGCCACCCAGATGTGGGCCTGCAGGTTGACACTCGGAGGGTGTCCGCTGACAGGGCTGACGAGGCGGCCAGCGCCGACGCAGGAATGAGCTGAAGATGAAGCTGAAAGCAGATCTTGAAGTCGGCCCCTCGTGCGCGGGTGCAGCGCTCCACCACTTCTGGGCGCAGCTTGGGAAGCTCGACCTGAAGCTGCAATCCACTGAGAGACTGAGGAGCTGACGAAGATGCACGCGCAGCTCGACGCGAAGCGCAGCGGCGTGCGGGAGGAATGGGCGGCGCAACCGTCAAGTACCATGAACAGGCTCTGGCCACATTGAGAAGCTGGGCGCTGAAACTTGCAAACTGCAACCGACGGTGGGTGGAGACGAGCTCCCGCGGGCAGAGCGTGAATGCCGGCCAGCTCCGCGACCAGCTCACGGCCACGAGTGGGGGGCCGTCGAAGCTTCCCAGACTGGGATCCATGCCTGCGCCCTCGATCAAGCAGCTCGTGCAGGAGAGAGCGGCCTGGCGAAGACGTCTTGGACAGGCCGCGGCCCCGTGCGCAGGGGGGCGGTGCCTCCCCTCCCCCGCCCCCTTCAGCCGAAGCTTCCCGCGCCTCGCCCCAGAAATAGGGGAACAAAAAGAGACACAACCATAAAACCTCAGAGTTTTTATGTTTATGCCACTTTTCGCTCCCCTACAGAAAGCTCGAGCAGGAGGGCGGCCGGGCGGAGGAAGGCTCCGGAAAGGGAGCTGGACCCGTGCGCAGGGGGGATGCGGTGCCTCCGCCTCCGCCGCGCCAAGCCGCAGGCGGGCCGCGCCTAGATGTGGCCCCTGAAGGCCCCTTTGGGGCACCAGCTGGCTCCAAGAGGGGCCCTAAAGGGCCCCTTTCGGGCTCTCTTCTTCACCCCCCCATGTTGTGGGTCACCCCTCCCATTACCGCCCGCCCGTGCCTGCTCAGACGGCTCCGAAGTCGCCGGGCCTTCTGAGAAGTTGTCCCAGCCTTCCCCGAAGGGACAGAACACCTCTCAAAGGCGCGAGGCCTTCTGAGAAGCCCCGCCGCCTTCTGAAAGGGCCTTCTCTTTCCCACTTCCCCCCCTCGCTCGCCGCCGATGATGAGTCTGCCAAGCCTTCGGCAGCTGGGCGATACGCGGTGCGGCGAGGAGCGCAAAAACGCCGCCGCGCTGGCCGCCGGCGCGCGCGGCAAGCCGCCCCGAAGAAGGACGCCGGGCACCGCGCGGGCAGCATCTCGAACTTTCGCTGAGTCCTTCAGCGAAGGTTCGAGATGCTCGGCGGCGAGCCTCTCTAATGATTCGGGGGGGAAGTGAGAAGGAGAAGGCCTTCTGAGAAGGCGGCGGAGCTTCTCAGAAGCCCTCGCGCCTTCTGAGAGGTTTCCTGTGTCTTCGGGGAAGGCTTCGGGCCCGCGCCCCCATCCTTCGCTGAATCCTTCACAAGACGAAGCCAGGATGAGGATAACATCGGGTGAGGATAGTTGAGAATCTATGAGGTCCGGCGGTGTTGGAAGATGTCTCGAGAGCGGCGGCCTTCCCCGAGCGTGTTCCCGAACGCTCTGGAACGGAGTCATCCTCGTCCCAGCGCCGTCCGATGGGTGGCCCCTTCGCAAGCGCCGATGGGGGGGAATACGCGCCCGCAGCGGGCCTCCTTGCACCTGCCCTCGAGCCTCGCGATGCGCCGAGTCGACCTGTTCCGAAGCAGCCCCACGCTGCCCTGCAAAGAGGCTCGGCGCCGACGGGCCAACGGCGGACAAGTCGTTTCGAGAAGTCGGCGCCCGCGGCCGGCGTCTGTGCACGGGCGCTCGAGCTGGGTGACCCACTCTCCTGTCCGCACCTGCGGTGCTCAGGTACTCATGCTCACGCTGCGAATCCCTCCCCGAAAATTGCCTGTGCCTCCCATTTGCATACCCTTTCCCCCCTCCCCGTCACCCTCCCCCGTCCTTCTCCTGCTCCTTCTCCCCGTCCTCCTCCTACCCCGCCCTCCTCCCTCCTACGTCCGCCATCCTGATCGTCGTCGTCCTCGTCCTCGTCCTCCTCCACGATTGTAAATGAGGAGTATTACCCCTCTTTCTCCCCTGAATCTGTCTAGAAAATATTCGACCCTCTCCGCATACTGCTTCAATCTACACGCTTGCTATAGAAACTTGTTAGTTCTCATATGTTTGGGGACAATCCGATTGATGTTGTTGGTGATCCCGCTGCAGCGTGGGCCTTATTTTCGGATCGGCGCTTCATTCCCATCGTTTAGAATGGCGCTCTCGCCCCAGCGCGGGCCGCTGTTCTGGATCCGAATCCGTTTTCATCGTTGTCGCCCCCCTCATTTTCCCTCCATCTTTCCCAAGTCCTCCTGCTCCTCCCGCTCCAACTACTGCTGCTGCTGTTGCTGCTGCTGTTCGTCCTCGTCCTCCTCCTTCCTCATCATTCTCTTTTTCCTCCTGCTCATCCTTTCGCTCATCCGCCACCTCCGCTTTCCGATTGCGCAAATCACGATAGGAGTTCTCTTTGGAGTTCCAGGTCCGCCATGACACGCGTCGGCGGATAGATAAAAAACAACGGAGTGGGAAGGGATATATTGGAAGGGTAGGATGTCAAATATGGCGCGAATGCACCCAGCTGGTCTTGTCCGTCTCCCATCTCCCTTCTCCTCCTCTACCCCTCAGTCCATATGAACAACTCTTCCCTGCCACTGCACCGGACGTGTCGGTGAGGCTGGCTGGGCGTTTCGCCTGAGGTGTCTTCACCAGCTGCAGCACTGAAGCTTGAACTTTCCAATTGCTTCTGGCCATCGCTCGGACGTCCATTCCCTGTGTTCTTTTCGGTTTCGTGCGTGGCGTTTTCGCCAAATGATCAAGGATGCTCCTCGATGGTCCTCGCCGAAGGAAAAATGCACACGTCCGAGCGGTGCCGAGGCTTTCAACATGGGGATCTCGCCTTGGCGCCGCGCACACTCGCGCGGGCTGCTTTCAAACTCAGGCTCTCGCCCTGCGCAGGGCACCCTCGCCCTGACAAAAGCACGCACCTACTCGCGGCTCTCCTCGGCGCCCCGCGCATTCGTCTCCAACATCCTGTGCAGTTGCACGGAGGGATGGCGACCCCTTGCCAAAATGGGGGTTCTCGCCCCGAGAGACTTCCACGACTATCCGCCGATCCTGTCGCCGTGTGTGCAGGAGAGTTTGGGGGTGGTCGTCCGGAGGTAATCTTGGGAGATACTTTTCTATCCTAGAGGCCTTCTGGATGGTGTCAGAGTAGATGGAGTCGAAGCATCGCGCCGCATCGCCGATGCATCAGCGATACATCACCGATGCATGGGCGATGCACCGGCGACGTCGGCGAGGCATCGGCGACGTCGGCGCGGAGAAAATCGGGCTCCGCATCACGCGGTATCGGCGCTGCATCGGCGATGCGGCGCGGTCCTCCGACCCCAATCTACTCCGACCCCATCTAGGAGGCCTAGACTTGTCTATTCGAAACTGTCCCCCCTTTCCACTGCGGCCACCTGGAGCTCTCCGAGCTCCGATGCGAGTCGGCCCAGGTCGCAGCCGGGTCTCGAAGGGAAGCCCCCTCGCCTTTGAGCTCTTCCCCGCTGGTGGGAGGGGCCACGGGGCTAGTGCACCTCGACCCTGCGCCCCCTTCTCCCTGGAAGAACTCTCTGGCGACCTTTTGGATTCAAGAAGCTGGCTTCTTGAACTCACCAAGGTTTTTTGGCATTCGACAGGGGCCTGGGCCTTCGAACCCAAGCGGGCTTTTGTTGAACTCGACTTCCAACAGAGGGGCCAGCCACTCTGGCTACCCTGCGGCCACCTGGTCGGGGATCTTCTGACCAGGGTCAATCCAATCCCGGGTCAGCCAGGACTCGCAGACTCCTGCAAGATCCTGCACCCAAACCCGGGTCAATGCGAAGGATCCTGCAAGCTCCCGCAGGATCCTGCACCCCAGCCCGGGTCGATGCGACCCTGGCCCTGCAGGATCCCCGCAGGATCTGGCGCTCTGGCTGACCCCCGCTTGCATTGACCCCCGTCTCAATCGGGAGCGGCCAAGAGGGGGGTGTCCAAGAGGGGGGGGATGCAAATCATGACCGGCGGCATGTGCGCGGCCCCGCGGGGGGGCCAGGGACGTAATGAAATAAGAAGAGGCGCCATGAAATCTGGGGAAATATCATGGCCCACGCCATGATATCCCCCCCCCCTAGTCATCACCCCCCTCTTTTCCGCTTCCGACTCAAGGCTCCCGACCTGGGCCCGCTGGCGCCCTCCCGGGGGCCAACCTCCGCACTACGCCGGGGGGGGCCCCGCAGGGCCCCTCGGCCCCGGGGGGACCGGGCCACGAGGCCGGCCTCGGCTCGACGCTGGAGCTCCAGGGAGCAGGGGCCCGCCGCGGGGGCGCCACGGCGGGGGGGAGGGGGTCCTCCTCCTCCTCCTCCTCCTCCTCCTCCTCCTCCTCCTCCTCCTCCTCCTCCCGCCTCCTCCTCCTCCTCCTCCATCTCCGCCCCCCCCGCCAACATATGGGGGGGAGGCACCGAGGCGCGCACCCCGAACCCCCCTTCTGGTGGGCAGGTGTTCCACCGCCGCCAGCACAAGTAGGAGAGGGAGGGTCCTCCTCCTCCTCCTCCTCCTCCTCCTCCTCCTCCTCCTCCTCCTCCTCACCCCCCTCCAACATGTGGAGGTGGTGGTGGGAAACAGACCCCCCCTTCGGCCCCGACGCGCACGCCGTCCAGACACATCCGGGCTCCTCCCCGTACCGCGGAGCTATCAAGGGCCCTGGGGCGGGGACGCCCACGGGCTCAGCCCAGCACCCCGGGTGGGCGGGCAGCGGCCCATACAGTCGGGGCGATGACCTAAGGAACCCTAAATAAGGAACGGGGCCCCTTTCTCCCATAAATTGAACTTCGATTTCCCATGGAAAACCTCCGGAAGACAGAAGACAAACTGTAGAACAATCACGGAACACCAAGCCCCTCCCCAACGAAAAGGGTTCCTTCTTCGGGGCTCCGACTGTACCCACCACGCGACGGGCTGCCGAATTTGAGGGTCCGGCGGTTGGGCAGCAGCGGTTCTGCGGAGCTCTGCGCCCTGGCGCCATCTCTGGGGCCGACGTTTCCCCCTCAACGTGCTGTGGTTCCAACACTCTCGCTGCCTCTGTCACGAGAGCGCCCGAGGCGGCACATGCTCCCCCAAGAGTAGCCCAAGGTGGCCCGAGAGGCCTTCAAGGGAGGCCCGAGAGGCCAACAAGACGGCCGCAGATGGTGCCCCCAGAGCACACCACGATCCCCCCACATGTCCCGAAGGCCTCTTGAACAAGACCCAGGCGCGGCGGCGGGATGGGCGGATAGATTCTCGCCCTCGCATTGACGCCGCCACTGTCCCTTGTCCCCGTCCCCCTTCCGCCTCGTTGCACGAACTGTTCGTTTAAAAATCGGCGGAACCGGCCATATGGCCCTTGGGCAATTTCACACGAAAGTGAGCAAATTGTAAGCAGTTGAACACATGAAGCCGAGTCTGTTCTGTCCAATATTGCTGCAGGAAGTCTGAAAGCGTGCAGCTGTTGCAGGGATGGACGGCGGTCCATTCTGAGATCCGAACTGTCGCAGGGCAATTCCTTCGCTTTGCATTCCCACCTTGCTGCATTCCTCATAGCTCAAAGGATGAAGGGCACTTCCTGTTCAGATCGGAACTCCCGCCTGTTTTGTGGGCCCGCGCGGCGCCGTCTCTCGGGGGCGCGTTTCGCACAGTGGGGAAGGATGCCGGCAAAAAGAATTATGAGGATGGGACCCGGCACGGGAGGGTGTATGGCTGAATCCTTGATCCATCTTGTTGGGATTGCTCGAACGCTTTCTCACTTGTCCGGTTCCCTGATCTTGCTCTCTCCTCCTCTCAAACTGCCCGTGCCCCTGCTTCCCCAGGCCCCGGTCTCCCACAATTCGGCCGAGGCCCAGAAGTTCCGGATGGTCATCGCGATCGTCCTCGCAAGGGGTGGTCTGAACTGAAGTATGTCCATGTCCATATCCATGACTCCATGACTCTGTGCTCTCTGCCTCCTCCTCGTCCTCCTGCTCCTCCTCTTTCTCCTCCAGGGCGACCGCCTAATAATGCGAGGGGGGGGCCAAGGCATCGAAGGACTACCCCCCGGACGAACGCCCGATTTCCATCGTCCTCCTCCTCCTCCTCCTCCTCCTCCTCCTTTCCTCGCACCCTTCCCCACCTCCTCCTCCTCCTCCCCCTTTCCTCCCTCCTTTCCTCGCTCCTCCCGTGGTCCCTTATCTCTGTTGCTGTGCACCTGGGGGCCCTGGCGCAAGGCGGCGCACCCTTGGAGACCAGGGCGGCGGCTGACCCGAGCAGCCACGGCCACTCGGAGGGCAACGAGAGTCAGGAAGAGAGAAAGAGAGAGAGAGAGAGAGAAAAAAAAAAGCGAGAGAGAGAGAGAGAAAGAGAAACACACAAAAAACCCAAGAGGGAGAGAGAGAGAGGGAGATAGAGAGCAATACATAAAGACAAAGTTATATGTACATAGAGATCGAACAAGATAAATACATAGACCGAGAAAGAGAGAGGGAGTGTGAGAGAGAGGGAGAACGAGAGATAGACACAGACAGTGAGAAAGAGAGAGAGAGAGGAGGAACAACAGAGAGAGAGAGAGAAAGGGAGAGAGAGAGAGAGAGAGAGAGACAGAGGCAGAGAAAGAGGAACTTAGAGACATATCTATATATAAATATGAGAG